TTGATAGACATTCTGATTTAACTAGTGGGCCTACTTTGAAAATATACAGATTCTTTTCAATACATATTTCATGAAAGAATTTGTATTACTATAACCACATTTTAACTGTATTCTATTTATAATTACATGAGAAATAATAATATGATGTCAGAATTACTTTGAAAAAAATCTATGAAAAAATATTTCTATCGTTAATAATGGTTCTGTGAGAGACCGAATAGTAATAGACTTTCCCTTTCAATATTATTTATAGCATATAAAGAAAAAAATGCTTATTTCAACTCAGTTTTTTTTAATATTTATTTTTTAGTTGTAGTTGGGCACAATACCTTTATTTATTTATTTATTTATTTGCTTATTTATTTATTTATTTTTATGTGGTGCTGAGGATCAAACCCAGGGCCTCTCACGTGGAAGGCGAGGCTCTACCACTGAGCCACAATCCCAGCCCCTCAACTCACAGTTTTGAAGGTTAGAGCCCATGATCAATTGACCCCATTGCTTTGGACCTGTGGCAAAACAGCATATCAAGGTGGGAGTACACAGTGGATCAAATCCACTTGCCTCATGGCCAAGATACAAAAAGAAGATGAAGGGGTCAGGGTCCCACAGTCAGGAACATGTTTTCAATGACCTAAAGTTCTCCCACTAGGCCCCACCTCTAAAGGTTCCGTCAGCTCCCAATAGCACAACACAAGAGACCAAGCTTTTAACATATGGGCCTTTGGGTAATATTCAACATCCAAGCTATAACAAGGGAGAAAGCAAATAAAAAGGATGACACTGTAGGAAAACACTGAGATATTAAAAGATAGCAGTTAGCAACAGACAAATTTCTCCCCTTCTTTAAATATCCAAATGTCTTTGAAGTTTGTACATCAGTAACAAAGATATCATTTCATAGGTACTTAGTTTATTCTGAAACCTTTTTTCATGGACAAAAAGAAATTAATAGGAGCTGGGGTTGTGGCTCAGCGGTAGAGCACTCACCTAGCATGTGCAAGACGCTGGGTTCAATTCTCAGCACCACATAAAAATAAATAAACAAAAATAAAGGTATTGTGTCCAACTACAACTAAAAACAAAATATTTATTTAAAAAGGAAGTTAATAAAGTATTGATTTGAAACAATGACTCTTGCACATATAAGGAGCTGGCAATGAGCAACAGTAAGGAGCTTTTAAGCTCAGTGACAACATTTCTATAGCACAACTAATCCTGCATACATCACACACATCTGGCGAGAGGAAGGAATTTCTAAAGGGCTTAGATTTGGATTTTTTTTAAATGATTAAGAGGAAGATCCAATGATTACTAACAACAAAAAAACAAAACAAAACAAAAAACCTCTCTCATTTTTAAAAATACTGCACTGCTACTTAAGAACAAGAAAAGAAAATCCACTGAATCATAATTGCCAACATTTCCAGAGTACTTTCCATATGCTGGATACCTCTTTTGATATTCACAGTAGATATATGAAGCAATATACTATTAATCTACCCATTTTATCTATGCAAATGCTGAGGTTCAGAGAGGTTGTCCAAAGTCAACCAGCTCATAAGTGGTAGACAGGAGAAATCCTAACAAACCAGATTGTGGTACTATCATGCTAACAAATACTTTATCATGCTAACAAATTAATAATGGCAATGGGGAGGCTACATTTAGTGCACCAAAAAGATGTGTATTCAAATTTCCCCTGCATACAGATTCTCTACAGGATAACTCTTTCCCATAATTAGATACATTTTGAAATCTGCCCATTATATCTGAATTTCTGTTAAGCTAAAATTCATTATCTGGGTGAATTTTTTTAACATTTTAAAATATTTTTTATCAGCAACCTTATTCTTTCTCCAAGTTTGCAAAGAATCACTTTAATTTTCAGAGAGTTATATTAATCCAAACTGAAAAAAAAAAAGAATGCTTAAACAGGTTAAAAAACAATCTCAAAGATTGAATCATATATCATCTGCAGGCCCAACAAGAGAAGATATTGATGTCTGCGTACCTTTTCATTTTAAACAACATTTACACAGTTCAGTGTTTCTGAACAAGAAGCCTCAGGCAGCCCATACATGAAAATCCCTGTCACTATGGCAACTAGAAATAGTGATATTGAACAGTGATTCATCACATATTGTTTGTCAGGCACAGAAAAACAACTCAGAGTCATGCTTCCCTGGAAAAGAACTCAGTTAAAAAATAACCTGGAGTAGTGATTGTTTTAAAATGTTTATCAAGTTTTTGTGATTTCATGCCAGAACATTTTAACATTAACTCCAGTTCAAAGGGATAGTTAATGTCTCCTAGAGAAATGTTCTTGCATTCATTCATTCATTCACTAAGTCAAGAAATTATGCTGAGTAGGTGCCCTCTGCTGCAGGAGCTATGCTAGATAGAGGATATACCACTGTGAAGGAGACAAGCAGGGGGTCTGCCTCACTGAGCTTTCAGAATAACTAATAAGCAAACATATGGGTGCTCTAGGTAGCCAGGGCACACAGGACTTTCCAGAGGAAGTGATGGCTAAGCTGAGACCTAACACAAGAGCATTACCTAATCAAGCAACTCTGGGGCAGGGGAGTGTACAGGCCTTGTGGATATTCCAGGGAGAAGCCAGCAGGCATGGTGATCTGAAGAGTAGAAATAATAGGGCATATTAAGAATCCAATGTAGTTACGAATGGCTGAAACAGAGCTCTAGGCATGGTGGTGAAGAGAAAAAGAGGATAGAAAAATGGGGTGCATGGCATGAAGGAGCTTGTTCCTAAAGGCCCAGAAAAAGACATGCTACATATGAAATATGGGTTAGCAAAAAGAGCCACACCAAAAAAGAGTACATGCCGTATGATTTCATTTATATGACAGACAAAACTAGGCAAAGCTAATCAATGGTGATAAGAGATTAAAAAATGGGAGAGGTGCGAACTCTGAACAGGACATGAAAAATTATTTCTAAGGGTGCTAAAAACGTTCTACATCTTTCACTAAACTACAGTTAAATTGTTTATACATATTTATAAATTTATCCAATTTACACTTCTGTTTGCTCATGTTATCTTAAACTAGTTGTACCTTAATAAAAAGGGAAAATCATATGAGTAAAATGGTTAAATATTTAATATATTCTTTCATATGTAAGAAATTATCTGTTTATATAAACCAAACAAAGGGAACAATGATTTCTAGAGAAAATTAATAAACAGTTTTAAGTCAAGGAAATATTTTGCTAAATAAAGAAGATTTGGGGTTTATGCAACTTGGAGTTACAGACAGGTCTTAGCATAATATTTTTATTATAGAAAAATTACACACATATCATCAACATAAAGCAAACATAATCATCAAATTTAAGATCTAAATATATGACTATAGTGCAAGGCCCTTGTTTGAACCCCACAAAACACACACACACAAAAAAAAAATTTTAACTTTAAAATTGAACAAATTAAAAATAAAAATCAGAGTAGGAATACACAGAGACATCAAATGCAATGATAAAGTTTTAAGCTGGGTGGTTCATACATGGGCATCTGTTATACTCCATTCCTTTTTGCACATATTAAATCCATTATTTTTCCATAATTGAAGAGAAAAATCACTATCTGCAGAATGAAGTTGTTAAAGGAATGCCTAGAGGGATCCAGGCATGAAATGAGAGTGGCTTGTCCCTATATCAAATGGTAATGGCATGAGGATGAAGGGAGGAGGACACAGGGAGAGAGACGTGAAAGGTAAATCAACAGCATTTGGTAATCAACCATATATGGATGTGAAGGAAAAGAAGGAGATGAGGGTTTTTTGTTGTTGTTATTGTTTTGCTTTGTTTCAGGTACTGGGAGTCAAATCCATTCTACCACACTCCCAGCCCAAAAGATGTCATTTCTGCTTGGCCAAATGAATGGATGGTGGTTTCATTCATTGAGATGAAGAAACAGAAAAATAAGCAAGAATTCTGAGGGAATAAGAGGAGAATAATGAGTTCAGTTTTTGACAAGATAAACTTTGAAATTGAAATTTCCAAGAAATCTCTACAGTCTGAAGAGAGGAGCAAGAACAGGGTTAAGGACAAATTCAGGAGCCATGACAAGGCTCAAGTCAAGAGTAAGCTGAGCAGACAGCTGAAAAGGGAATCTTAGGGCAGCAGAGAAGGAATCATAAAAAAAAAAAAAAAGGAAAAATCAGCCCAAAAAACTGGAAGAAAACTACAAGTACATGTCATCCTGGTAGTTGAGGGAAAAGAGTATTTCAGGAAGGAAGTATAGGCTGGGGATGTAGGTTAGAGGCAGAGTGCTTGCCTAGCATGCCCAGGGCGCCATGTTCAGTACCTAGTCTCTCAAAAGAAAGGAGAAGAAAAAAGGTATGGTCAACAGTGTCAAGTTCTGATCCAGGCTCAGAAAAGATACAAACTAAAAATAACTTAAATTTGGCAAATAGGAAGTCCCTGATCCATTTCTGAGTAAGACAGGGAGAAAGTCAGAGTGGGGTAAATGGGAAATTAATAATCCATATTACCACTGAGCATTCGATCGAAGAAGACAACCTTCCCCAATAGAGGAGGACTCTTCTTTGGTCAAGGATATACGAGTAGCTGCGTTCCCCTGCTAGAACCTCCAAACAAGCTCTCAAAGTCCATATTACTGTTGAATAGGAGCTTTTATTGCTGTTCTCTGAATTTTGTCATTAAAAAAATTATTTCTTACAGTTAAAAAGTAATACTAGAAATGCAAAGATCAAAATTAAAAGTTTGGCTCTGAAGAGAAGAAGAAAGATAGGGAAGCAGTAAGGAGACAGGCTATATAGAAGGATCATTGGTTTTTTGTATTTTTTCAATCTATAATAGTATATTTAAATGATATTAACACGCTGGCAATAAAGGGAAAATTAAGAATATATGAACATATTCAGGTCCCCCCAAATGAAGAAAGCACAAGAGTTCTTGTCAAGACAACCACCTGGTGACAAACATGCTCAAGTCCTGTTAACACTTCTTACCTGGTGAAATACAGCATGAACTGGACAA